GTAGTATCTTTTCTATTGATTCAGTGGTCTCTTTGAATAGTTATATAATTCACGCCCATGACTTGGACGGTCATTTCTGTGTCAATAGCTCTCAAATCTACATCACTTACTTTGACATCCCTCTTGATCTCTAGATTAATTTCTAGGTCAGTACACCAGGGTACTTCAAAAAGTTCACAAAAAAATGGGATTAAAAGATAATATAAATCCTTCCATGAACTTTTTAAAGACCACTTCATTGATTTATTCCATATATTTTAACAGTCCAAGTAGTAGCTGATAGAAGTACTATAAATTCTTGACAGACTTCCACTATGAGAATAGTACGTGATGATTAGGGAGTTTCCTTAATCCCAGGGTAGGAAACGAGAAGACACGTAGAACAGACCTGTTATTTGAGCAGAGTTTGCTTTAGTTCACCCAAAACAACCAACATAGGATGTCATCGAATAGAAAAATTATTTACTGTTGTATGCCACTGAAATCTTGTGGTTGTTTGTTTTCATATACTGGTGAAAGTTTTTTTCTATTTTTTGTAGTTATAAAATGTAATACATTAATAAAAATTTTGGTACCTATATCTTTATACTTGTGCTATCATTACACTAGTGTTATTATAATTGTTGGATGAATTTTTAGAAGAAAGATTACTTAGTCACAGTATGTGAGCATTTTAAAATTTGATAAATGTGTCTAAATTACTTTCCAAAAGTTTGCTCAGCATACTTTCAAAAACAATATAAGAAAGAGAACAGTTTCCCACATTCTCACCAAAATAATAGTATCAACCATTTATGCTTTTGTCATTCTGTTAACTGTGTCAATGTGTTTTAATTTCAAATTCTCTTCTATATTATTAGTATGATTTAATGGAAGTTTTTTAAATTGTTCTATTTGTTTTGTTCTGATTTTTGTTAGTATGATTTTCTTGGTTTTATTTGTTATTTTCTTACTGGTTTATAGGAGCTTTCTCTATATTATCAATAATAACCATTTTTATGTATGCTGCAAATATTTTCATACATTCTTTTGTTTTTAATATTTTAACTTTTTTAAATTTTCCTTTAAATTATTGTTTTTCTACCAACTCTTTATTTAGTGTGTATAAACCTGTCATTATTTTATTTTAGGTCTTGTGTTTTATATCTTCCTTAGGAAAGGTTTCTTCAAACCTAATGTTGAAATNAACAAATGGTATTTTTCTTCCTTTAACATCAGTTACCATTTAATTTGTTTCCCCATTTACTATCTAACTTCTTGGAAGACTTCTATGCTCACTACTCCGTTTTTTTCTTCCCCATTCACTTTTTAAAGTATGTCAGTTTGAATCCTGCTTTCATTGCAGTGTTAAAATTTCTTTGTCAATGCCAGCAATGACCTCCTAATTGCTAAATCTAATAGTATCTCTTTATTTTTATACATACTTGCCATCTCAGCAGTAATGGGAAGTATTGACAAGCTTTGTTTGAAATTCTGTTTGTCTTCAAAAAGTATCAAACTCTCTTGAGTGTTTGCCTACATGTTGCAAATAGTTCTGTTCCACCATTTGTTTGTTCTAGTTCTATTTTTTCCATATGACTCTAAAGTAGCATAATTCTAAATTGATTTTGTAGTATCTTTTCTATTGATTCAGTGGTCTCTTTGAATAGTTATATAATTCACGCCCATGANTTGATAAATTAAGCCAAAATTCCTGATTTAAATGCTAATGAAAATAGTAATAGTAGGAAAAGGAGAAAACCGTCAAAATGTAACAACAGAATGAAATCAAAACAAGTATTAGGTTATACAATAAAATATAAAAACTTTTCCCATTAAAGATTAGAACAAAACATGGATGTCCACAATTAGTGACACCATTCAATATTGTCTTAGAGATTCTAGGCAAGGCAATATAAAATTTTTTGAAAAAGGTTACAGAATCTGAAAAAGGAACAAAATTATTATCATTCACATGTAATATGACTTCTGCCTATTTAAATTCAGGATATTTAATAATTTATCTCTCTACAATATCCTGTTCGATATTTAATAATTTATCTCTCTACAATATACTGTTTTATGTAAGTGTCCCATAAGTTGGCTTTGAATAAGATATACATATGAAAATGTATAGTTTTCTCTTATAACAACAATAATTAGCCACTGAAATGGAAAGACGCAATTCATATAAGCATACATATATATGTCACACCATATAACCTAGAAAAATATATTTAGCAAAAATGTACAAGATCTCTATGAAGAGAACCATTAAAAAAAACTGGAGGATATTAAATAAAACCTGTAAAAATAGAAAGATAGTCCACCTTCTGGTTAGCTTATTATCACAAAGTTATTAATACCCTGATTTAGGCAGTTTATAGTGAATTAATAGATTAGCTGATTTTTACAAATTGTGTATATCTATGATTATCTTAACTCTGAGTGCCTTAGACATAGTTGGTATTTTACAATATTCTGCTTTTTTTATTCACATGCCACCTATGTTTTTAAAAAGAAAGATAAAAATGGGTACCTTACCCATTTTACAGTTTTGTTTGTGGAATAAAATGAACCAATATATGCAGAGATATAATGATAGGCTGTTAAAAGTATTACACTTTGGAAAATTTGATATAAGTGTATAAGCCATAGCCAAAAAAAATTATTCCTAGCCTTTCTATCAATATATTCCCATTTTTTCCTCAGGTGAAACATATACAGTAAACTATGCTTTAGTTAAGTACAATGAAATATATTTTACCTCAACTGTAACCTTCAAGCACTTAGATTTATGCTAGATGTAATATTTCAACTACACAAGTAAGCCAAGCTGACATTTTATTTTTTTGGCTGAGTAAGGATACGATTCACAGGTTAAGGATTGTTTTTACACTGAATATACAATTTTTATAGTTGGGTCTGGGTCCATTGTTCTCTGAACTACCCTCTCTCACTCTCACTTTCCAGAAATTCATACATTTTTTATAATATTGAAGAATTTTTGTGATTATGTTCCAATAGATTCTCAGGATTTGAAAATTCTATGAAGCTCTTTCCACCCACTTACTTGTCATACCTTAAGCACACTGAGAATGTTTNTTATTTACCTGGAAATTATTTTTGTGTGATTTAGGTAGGGGAACATTTGTAGTAAACTCTATTTTATTCACCACTGATTAAAAATGTCCCTTATATCTATAAATGCATGTATGTATAGATATATGCATATCTGTCTGTGTATATGTACAAATATGTATATGATTACCCATACATGAATTTGAACCTTTATTTTCTATGTTAATTCACTGATCTATGATTGTTCTTCTGGTAGTACCACACAATTTAATCATTTTTAACACACGGAACAAATCTCCCCAGTGTTGTTCAGTTTCATAACTTTCCTGATTATTCTTGAATACTAATTTTTCATGAGCTTTAGATGTGTTAGTTTGTCAAGGTAAAAATAATAGTATTTTTATTGAATTATACTGAGTTCATGCATTATTTTGATAACAAATTTTCTTCCTCAATGTAACCTCTAATAATTCAAAGGAGAAAGTAAAAGTGATTATAGTAGATGTACTACAGTAAAGTAGTACATTTGATAAATTAAGCCAAAATTCCTGATTTAAATGCTAATGAAAATAGTAATAGTAGGAAAAAGAGAAAACCGTCAAAATATAACAACGGAATGAAATCAAAACAAGTATTAGGTTATACAATAAGATATAAAAACTTTTCCCATTAAAGATTAGAACAAAACATGGATGTCCACAATTAGTGACACCATTCAATATTGTCTTAAAGATTCTAGGCAAGGCAATATAAAAATTTTTGAAAAAGGTTACAGAATCTGAAAAAGCAACAAAATTATTATCATTCACATGTAATATGACTTCTGCCTATTTAAATTCAGGATATTTAATAATTTATCTCTCTACAATATACTGTTTTATGTAAGTGTCCCATAAGTTGGCTTTGAATAAGATATACATATGAAAATGTATAGTTTTC